TGGCATTAAAAAGTATAATATACTGCTTATCTGTTTCCGCTCAGTATGGCAACGAGTAATTTATGAATTCTGTTTGTTTAACGAGTGTCGATGAATGCAATTCCTTTGGATTCTGTAAGACTATCCGTAGTTACAAAGCTACATCTGTTACGGACAAAGCCATCCGTAAGTTACAAATCAGGCTATCCGTATTACGCTTGCGCAAAAATGTTTGTAAGGTACGGATGAATTCCTTTGTAATACGGATGAAGTGATCCGTAAGAACTCTAGAGTGCGTTCAGCGTTTGATCCACGTTCCACTTCATTTTCACGGGCAGTGTTGCCGCTTCCCAGCAGCACGGCAACGTCGTGCAGCTTCCGATGGATTTGCGACGGCTGGCTGTCGCTCTATCAAGTCATTTTGTTGGATTCTCCCCGTTCTTGGCGGCCCGCTAGATGGCGCTAGTGTCGTTTCGCGGCGCTACCCTCGCGTTTTGAGGTACTTTGCCATTTTGCCTGGTCTGAGCGCTCTAATGAACGTCCAGCAGGTGCGCCCCGCGGGGTCGCTCGCTGGCATGAGTAGTCAACGATGGCTCAGACGAGGCGGTCGCATCGTCTGACATCACGATGGCATTGTTCACCGCCTTTGACTCAGATAAGATTTGTATTTTGAAGAGCAGAAAGCGGATGCCCTAGTCTTCCGTAATCAACAGGTCGATCAAATCAGCCGATTCATTGCCGTTTTGGTTCCGAGCGGAACAGAGCGACCTTGCGCACGGACCGGGTCCGAGCGGAACGGACTCGTCTTATTCGTCCGCGGATCGGGTCCGGTCCGAGTGGAACAGAGTGATCTGGTCCGTGGAACGGGTCCGAGCGCGGAACGGAGCTAAAATGGTCCGCAGACCGGGTCCGAGTGGTACACAGTCAGGTAGATCCGTTGCCGGAGCGGTTCCAAAAGAATACAACGTGTTCCGCATTCGGATCCGGAACGGAACGGGGAACTCGTGGATTTTGGAACGGAGAAGGCTCCGTTCCGGACCCCTGCAGTAGAGTACTTCGGAGGAAATTCAGACCGGAAGTCAGAGGTCGAAAGAAGTCGAAAGAAGTCAGGATCCACACTGACACAATGTATAATTCAATCTCAATATATTTGACAAATGGTGGTCCGCTTGTAGTATAAAAGTATGTAACACTTGCAAATGATTTACTAATCTGTGGTACTCAAAACCATTCTATGAACTGGAAAAACTTTGATTCAAAGTTGACAAGTCAGTACAAATTGTCACTATGGTGTAATTTTAAAACAAATTTCTGGCGCGAAAGCAGAAGAGTCACATGTCCACAGTTTCCAAACAAAATCGTGACAAGAAATTTCAAACCCTATAGGCTACAAAATTTGCACAGTATAAAGTGACATCCATACTAATTAATAGGGTGCCGCGAAAAACACTTTTTTCTGAAATTGATATCGGCTCGGGTGGCAAAGTGTTCTCTCAGGGGCCAATATGAACGGTTTTAAATATCACCCCGATCGGATAATATCTTCAGCCCCCACAACGGCCTTGAAAATCGGAAGGTTAAAACGCCTTGTGGGTAGGCAATTTGTTTGCACGCTTCCGGCCACTTTCAGGCATGTCCCTTTGGCGCAAAAGTCGAAAAGGGGGCCCCCCTTTGCCTAAAATAAATTTGTGGACAACCTCACTCAATGTTTAATACCAGTTTCTGTAAAGTTAACGCATGATATTTAACAATTCTGTCATAATTTGCCTGCAAATTCCCACGTATGTCAATTTCGCCAATTTCGGCCGTCTTTTTCTCCAATCTGACTTGCTTCCTGAGATCAGAAGGGTCGATTTAGGGGGGGGTTCATTTTGGGTCAAAAATCGCTAGGACGCTCCGTTTGGCGGGAAAATTGGGTCAAATTATTCAATTTTTCTGCAATTTCGCTTATTTTGACCCAATTTTCCCGCCAAACGGAGCGTCCTAGCGATTTTCGACCCAAAATGAACCCCCCTTAAATCGACCCTTCTGACCTCAGGAAGCAAGTCAGATCGGAGAAAAAGACGGCCGAAATTGGCGAAACTGACATACGTGGGAATTTGCAGGCAAATCATGACAGAATTGTTAAATATCATGCGTTAACTTTGCAGAAACTGGTATTAATCATTAAGTGAGGTTGTCCACAAATTTATTTTAGGCTGAGGGGGACCCCCTTTTTGCGCCTAAGGACATGCCTGAAAGTGGCCGGAAGCGTGCAAACAAATTGCCTACCCACAAGGCGTTTTTAACCATTTTTCCGATTTTCAAGGCCGTTGTGGGGGCTGAAGATATTATCCGATCGGGGTGATATTTAAAACCGTTCATATTGGCCCCTGAGAGAACACTTTGCCACCCGAGCCGATATCAATTTCAGAAAAAAGTGTTTTTCGCGGCACCCTACTAATTAAGTGAGAATGAATGAAAATCTGAATTTACTAATCTGAGGCACTCATAACATTCTATGAACTGGAAAAAACTTTGATTCAAAAGTTGACAATCATAAGTCAGTACAAATTGTCATTATGGTGTAATTTTAAAAACAAATTTCTGGCGTGAAAGCAGAGGAGTCACATGTCCACAGTTTCCAAACAAAGTCGTGACAAGAAATTTCAAACCCTATAGACTACAAAATTTGCACAGCATAAATTGACATCGATACTAATTAAGTGAGAATGAATGAAAATCTGAATTTACTTACTGAGGCACTCATAACATTCTATGAACTGGAAAAAACTTTGATTCAAAAGTTGACAATCATAAGTCAGTACAAATTGTCACTATGGTGTAATTTTAAAAACAAAGTTCTGGCATGAAAGCAGAGGAGTCACATATCTACAGTTTCAAAACAAAATCCTGACAAGAAATTTCAAACCCTATAGGCTACAAAATTTGCACAGTATAAAATGGCATCCATACTAATTAAGTTTAAGAGCAGTCATGACGTTTCCTGTCAATGAGTCTGAAGCCTTTATTGTTGGCATGGACTCCGTCCCTGTGGAAGAAATAAAGAAGGAGGATAAGCGAGAAACAGGAATACAGTTCCAGTTTTTAATTTGCATTAATATACTTACCGTGCCAAGTCCAAGTCATGTAGAACCACACCTATTGGGACTCCAGCCACAATACACCTTACGTCGCACTTGACATCAGCGACGAACAAAACCCTACGAGATAAACAAGGTAGGTTTACGCCAGACCGCGTCTTGTCGTAACAGGCTTCGCGATGTCTCGCTGCCTGTTCCTCCAATCCGCACTCTGAGAAAAAATGACGGTAAATCCTGGATAATTTTTTTGCCAAACTTTACCGTACTTCAAAAACCAGTATCCACCGTACAGTCTACAGTATTTTCCGTACTTGTTTTACAAAATATTCCGTAGTTTTTTAACAGTCGTTACCGTTCTTTCGGACAGTGCATCCCGTAGGAAAGACCAGATCTGGTCCCAACAAAGGCCGCTCCCAAGAATTGTCCATATCAGGATCTTGAAAAAAGGGGGTCGACCGACTGAAAAATTTTATTGCACCTTTCGATCGGTCTCGTCAAGACCTTTTCAACGAGTGGTCGGAAGGGGGGTCCAGGAGTCCGACTTCAGCAGTTATGTACATCAGAATCTTGAAAAACGAGGGTCGATCGACTGAAATAAATTATAGCAGTTTTTGATAGGTATTAAAAGTACGGGATTGCCGGGTAAAAAAGTACGGGATTCCTTGTAAAAAAGTACGGTGTTGCCTGTTAAAAAAGAACGGTATTGCCTGTAAAAAAAACGACGGTTTTGCCTGTGAAAAAAAGTACGGTGAAGTCTGGAGTAATCAGTACAGGATTTACCGTGATCTTTTCTCGCAGTGCGCGCCTGGCGTACCTACCTTGGCCTGCGGCGCTAGCCTGCCTTCGGCAGGCAATGGCTCGTCCATCGTCGGTTACTTCTAACTTGATGCATGCTGGGGGGCTCCGCCCCCAGACCGCCCTTCATTCTAGATCCCTTGTAACTTTTTAACTTGTCGGGGCTGATCTGCCTGCAGAAAACTCGATTTTTCGCCGTCTTTTAGGTGTTATTCTGCTAAGAAAACTGAACCAGTTGAGCTAGGATAGTGAAATTTCGCGTGTGCCGAGCCAAGGACATGCCCAAAAAGTGAGCAAAATCTCACCGGGATCGGCCGAGCCGTTCAGGTGGAGTAGTGCGGACACACACACACACACACACACACAGACGGACAGACAGACAGACAGGAAAAACTTTTCAACCCCAATGGAGTAACAGGCTTCGCTATCGCTCAGCCAATTACTTTTGAGGCACAAAGGCCCAAGTCAGCAACACAACAGATATTATTCGTGAGGAACCTGTAGAGAGCTAACCTCAACACGTGCATAGCTCCGACATGTTTCTTCAGATGGTCAGATCGAGCGAAGGCCTTGTCGCATAGTTCACATTTAAAAGATTTCTCTCCCGCATTGTGAGTCAATTTACGTCTTCTCAAATTAGATGCGTCATTAAAATCCTTTCCACAAACGTTACACAACATTATGGTCAAAGCCGGGTCAGTACGAATGCTGAGAATAAGACACGTCCATTAGTATTTCCACCGGCAATCCATATAAAAGAAGCAAATCTCACTTAGATGAAAGCAAGACACGCATACTTACAAAAGATGAAACGTTACAATAATAACAGCAGACGCCGGCAGCGGGAGACGCACACACAATAACACAGACAACGTCCAACAAAAAGTAAAATGGCGTGTGGCGCGGCGCGGTCACTCACGCACGGTCCGTGCGTAGTGCGCATGCGCTCCGTCTGAGGGCGCCAGCAGCGCTCGGCGGGGGGACTTCGGGCGGCGCTCGGAAGGGGACCTGCGCTGCGCCCATTTGTGGTCCCCTAACCGTTCCTCGCGCGCCGCCTTCACCCCCACTCCGCCGCTTTCGACCCCTTCCACCGCTCAGCACAGCCTCGCGACGCTCTTTTGTTTCTCCCGTTCAGTCGCTGGCTTCCGGTCTAGGTCAACCCGTGGTAACTCCCAGCCTTTCCGCTAGGGCGCTTGGAGCTCAACAACAACATAAAACAAGAACATCATTCTACAAGGTGGCAACTGTCCGGCACGAAATTTCAACACTGTTAAGCACCACCTGGTTGGCATCACTGGTGACCGGACACTTTAAATTTGAAGTTTGAGGAAGGTGCTATAAATGTATTTCCGGCCGCCCCCCGCGTCCCCGTATTGTAATGCTGCTGCTACTAGATCGGAGTTATGTGAGTATTGGTTTCCTCGTGTTTAATGGAAAGGGTATTGTCGGCTTAGAAAATGAATAAAAAGCAAACAAAAAACGAGGTTTCCTGATTTTAGCATTTATTTACGAGTTTCACTAGGCCTTCTTTGTTCAGTCTTGAGTAACCCTTGACTCCTCGTGCTTTCAACACTGCTTTCAGCTGTGGTAAGGTTAACTTTTGTGCCTGCGGACCGCAATAGTGAAGTATCAGTAGTGCGCTGTTAATTTGTTTCACATGAAAATAAAAGAATAATTCTTACTTTTCCTTGGCGCACAGTCTCCTCTAATCTGTCAATTTCGTTGTTGCTTGTATTTGCTTGATCTGCATTAATAAAACAAAGGATGGAATTTGTTATCAGTACTCATCACTGTCGAAATGATATTTTTGTTTGATTGCAGTTTTCTTACCTTGAAGCATTTTAAGAGATGACGGCACAGGTGCATGTGAAGATGATGGTGGTTTGGAGGATGTGGATGGAGGATGGAGGATGGAGGATGTCGATGGCTCTGACACAGGATTTGGTGACAGATCTGATGGTGTCGCAACTGCTTCAAAAGCATCCAGTAGAGAGAACTCATCGCCAACTGCCAATTAAATGAAAATGAAGTAAGTTTTCTGTGATTGAATTGATTCAAGTTATAAGTGTTGGAAATAATTTAATTACTTACAAGTACTCAGCACAATTTCTGATGCAGTCTCTGTGCTAGCATCCGCTATAAAAAAAAATTGATTAAATTTTGTTCATTTTTACAGCAGCTGCATCAGCAACCAATACTGCTTCACTTCGACGATTTGAAGAGAAGGTGGACAACCACAGAGAGGCCAGGATAATTTTAAAACTGTTGTCCGTTTTTTTAAAGGTCAGTACTTACCTATTGGAATGGATGGATCATCCAGCTGTTCATTTTGCTGCACAAGTTCACTTTCTCCATTTTCCTCATGATGCAGAGCTGTCAAAATTAAAATTAATTAATTCAACAGATTTTGTTCAGAGTCGGTGCACAAATGTTTTTTTTTTTTTTTTTAATTTATCTACCATTGTCCAAATTCTGTTTGCTGGTCAGCAGTGGATTGTGGGATTGAAGTTTCTTCAACACATTTCCATCAATACCTAAGAAAGAAAAAAAGAATTAGATTAAGTGGCTAAAGATAAAATTTTAGAAGCATAGCATCATTATCACTTATCTCAATTCAAATGTAATGTCGTATGTTGAAGATGGCCAAAATGAATAGAAATGAAGATGAAATAGGAGTGCCGATTCTGATCAGGGGAAATGTCAAGTTAAAAATGTATGATGCTTATTAATTTATGATGAGTTTTGTTGCATTCACCTGGTAAACCAGTCAGAATGGAGAAGTCTCTTGGATCAATTGCCTCAATTCCGAAGTCCTCTGCTACATTTTGAGACTTCTTGCTCATCTCTGCTTGTCTGGTTCTCCTAACTTTCTGTTCCTTAATGGAGGTGTTGAATGCAGAACATTTTAATTGGACAATCCGTGTGGCAGACAAATGTAAAAGAAGCTCTTGGACCAAGTCGCTGTGTATTTCACAGTCGACCCACTCCAGCAGGGACGTTTCTTCAGAGAGGAGGTACTTAATGTTTTTCACCAAATTTTGTTTCCACCCTATTTCATTCCATTTCTGTGCTACAATTTTTTGCGCAGTTAAGTAGAAGTTGGTGAAATAGGGGGAAGGTTTATCCAACCCTGAAGTTTTCTCCAGCATCAGCTGGAGAGTGAAATCGGTCGAATCTTCATTTGAGCTCAAAAAACGGTAACAATTTTTACACCTCTCTGTGGCTGCAAGAATTTTTGTGCACATTGTGGCACAGTTGAGAGATGGTGCTTGTCTTGTTAGCTTGTTAACCAATGTATTATTAATTTCTTCAGGCCTACATCCTCTGATGAGAGTGGGGGTGACTTCGGCTCTTGTTGTTGGCACCGACCATTCATTTATTAAGGCTCCAAAGTCTGCCAGGAATGATGCCCCATCATCTTCACAATTTTGGTTGCGGCCACTTGTAATTTGCTGAACCAGGCACACTTTCATCGCACCAACAAACTGAGCCAATGTGGGGTCTGAATTACTTCCGCATGACTGTCGAATCTGGCCAAAGTAATTTTCAAGTGGATCCTGATTTAAATTCCGTAATTTGAGACTGGTGAAACCTAATTTTTTAACTACTTTCCAGATCCACTCCAGTCCCCGAAGGTTGTCAATTAGGCCCTTTAGACAGGGTGGTATGTGCCTTACTCCTGATGATTTTCTTATGAAGACCCACTTTTCAATCTTTGGGATCATTTCTCTCCAGAAGGCATGGTGGAAAGAGTCCTCAGTTACATTTTGGCGCTTTGCCTTCGGAGCGTCTTTCCTACCAGGGCCATTCATGGAATCAAATAGCTGGTCCATTGTAAGAATAAACTCAATTGTGGGTTCTGCTCCAACCAGCTTGGTGCCTTGGGTGAGCATATGAAACGTTTTCATTCCACACCCAGTGGTCTCACTAAAGGTCTGTGCAGCAAGATCCACCCGCATCTTGTTTCTTCCCATTGGGCACAGGTGTGAATATTGTAATTTAGACGTTTTGCACATTCCCTCATCTAACTTAAAGAATTCAATGATGTAAGACCACCTCACTATTTGTTGCAGCTCGTCTTCCAGATCTGAAGACAGGAGATTATTCCTCATGCTCTTCATGACATGAGGAATATCATACAAATGCACAACCCGCTCATCATCAACTTTGTAGACTGGATCAAGTTTGCCCTCTTCACATTGGCTTCTGAGCTCGTTGATAGCACCCTGATTTGTCGCCCCTTGATCAGAGACACTGGCAACCACCTGAAGGCCAAGTTTCCTGAGCTCCCTTATAACTTCTTTAATTAATGAAGCCAACATGTCTGATGGAGACGTCCCATTAACAGCAAAGTAAGCCACCTGAAAGAGAAAGAAAAATTAAAAGGTATTTAAAATGTGGAATTGTTGTTCACACTGTCACAGTATTTCACATGTGAGGTGTAACACTGCAAGAAAAAGTGTATATAGTACAACAAAAGTAGTACAACAGAAACTGTACAATAAAAGCACAACAGGGGTTGTAGAAAGTACAATGAGAATTGTACAAACCACAACGAGCCCTGGACTGCACAGCAATCCTCATGCCGGTTCCATTGTTCTTTGTACAACAATTGTTGTACTTGAAAAGTACACTAAATTCCTGATAAAAAATTTGCCAGAAATTTGTGTACTTTTGTTGTGGTTATTTCCTGCAGTGAAACATTGTGTGAAATCAAAACGTGATTTTTTTAAATGGCTTTTTTTTCTCACCGGCATTTTCCAATCTCCCTGTAGCCCTCGAACCATAAAGACAAGGACATGGTTTGCTTCACGGTCAGTCCTTCCTTTTTCGCCATAATCCTCATAGCCCTCAATCAAGTCTGTCAGAGGATTGTAGTGGAGATTGGAATTGGTGTAAATTTCATCAAAAAGGAGCACAGCTGCCTTTTCTTGTTCATTGAAACCTTCAATTTTTTTTTTCAGGACACTCATTAAAAATGGAGAAATACCAGGATCCAGCTTGATTGAAGACAAGACGTTTTTCAGTGTCTTCTCACATGGACTTACTACATGGTTCCTATAGTACCTATACGCCTTGGGGCCCCTTTTGTATAGGCCCAGGTAGAAGCACTTTTCTTCAACTGTCCATGTCCTCACATTTGGGTGCTTGTCAAAATTTCTTTGCTCGCTTTCAAGAATAAGCCGAGCACCTGAAGACCACGGCATTTCTCTCATTTTATTCTCAACCTTGTTGTTAATGAGATTCTGTGTAGTGATACTTGCTGAATATTTTAGTCGGCGGCGGGCAAGGAGGCCTTTCTGATAATAGCCTTGGGCCATTTGGATCAGTGACTTTTTTCTTGGTGTTAATTCATTGGTCTTGACACCAGCCTCTCTGGCTATTTTCGCCTGAGTCATTCTGGAAGTTTCTGTAAAATCAAAGGATTATGGCTCCATTAATTAATGTCCAATTTATTATTATAAAATAATCCGTAGACTGTATATTCCATATTCTTACTCTTAGGTGGTGTTTTCAGTTCCGGTGTGGGTATCTGTTGTGGCTCCACCCTTGGCTCTTCCATTGGAGGGGTGCATGTTGGGTGAACCAAAGAGGGAAAACTGTGTGGGGGTGTTTTTTCTGCAGTGAGTGGAGCGGGGGATGGTTCCCTCACTACAACCAAGACCTTGTTACATTGGTTACCTGAAAGAGAGTCAGATGTGTGAATTTTGCTGTCATTATTTAGTCACTAGAAAATAAGGGCATACCTTCATTGGGCAGATGATCTGAAGACCTTTTGAAAACCCTCTTTGTCTCTGTAATAATAGAACTGTATTTTGTAATGCTCTTCTTTCAAGATAGTAATAATAATTTTGTACAAATATTTACCGTTTCCTTGTTCTGTCACTGGGTAATCCTGCATCTCATCTTCACACAAAGGTTCCCTATCAAAAATTGTTGGGACAGCATGCCTGTGCAGAGTGTTTTTAAACTTGTTGAAGTAGTGCTTGTCTTCAAAGTGGAGAGCACAGAGGCGTCTGCACTCAGAAAGTCTGGAAGTTGGTATTTTGAGCAGTTCTGCATTTCCAGAATTTTTAACCCACTCCTTGCACCTGAAAGTTTTGTAACTTGTCAGTTCGCACACTTAAATTTGAATTCGTTTCTCCAATAAAATTTAAGTTTTGTAAACAATCATTTTTAAACAGATTATGTTAAGTGTTTAGGTTTAATTCAAGCTTTTCTCATTTGAAATATCCCAACATTCTTCAATTTAAAATAGTTTTTAAAAAGTGTTTCCTTAACCCATCACCTGTCAATGTCCACAGGGAATTTGAACATTCTGATGTTATTTGGATCTGACGTGTCAGACACGGTGCCACAGTCTTTGGCACAACACCTGAGTGGTGCCATCGTGAAACACTTTAAATCAAAAAAGATTCAAAGTACAAAATCAATTAAACACTAATTTAAAGCGCACGTCACAAACACGTGAGTTGGATGTAAACAATGACTTCTGCTCGTCGTCTGCCAGACGAATTTTGCCGCGGGAGCGCCCCCTTCAATACCAAACTACGTGATAAAAACCCAATAATATTTTTTGTTTGAGAGGTGTGTTTTCGGGTCAGAGAGTTTATGTCAATGATAGAAATTCTTTTTCCATACTAAAAGTCTTTATTTATCGTCGAAATACTGGTGCAAACCGTATCAAAGCTGTCATTTACTTCAGTGCCGTACAGTTGTCATCTTGTAGAATAGTTCGACGATTTGAACTGGCGCCCTCTGTAGCCAACCGGAAACCGCCTATCCCGTTACCACGGGTTGAGCTGGGAACCGTCGCGCAGACAAGTGTACACACGAGCCGAGCGTCGCGCCGTCAACGAGACCCCGGTTCGCTCCACGTGGCCGTCAAACCCCGTGTCGCCATGAGCACCTCGCCGTCGACGACCATCGCCAAGAAGCCCGCAAGGGCTCCAAGTGCACGGGCTTTGCCCTTTCGCCATGTCTGGCTAACTGCCCTGGAATGCCCCTGCCACCGCCGCTGCTTGTTTGACTACACCACGATGGCCGTCGCCAAGCGCCTCGCTGTCGCGGTGCCCCTCGCCGTCGACGCCGCTCTGCGCGTACACTGTGGACGTCTCCCGGTGTCCGTCGCGCCGCCCACGCCTCGCCGTCGTCCGATGTTGTGCCTGTGAAAGTGTTGAAGTGTTGAGGCTGTGAAGCCAAGTGACGTCACCATGTGACTAGTGTTTTGTGTGGTCTCGCTTCGGCGTTTGACCTTTATTTCTGTAACCAGTGCCTGACGGTTACCTTGTAAATAATGTAGTGTGTGTGTGCATGTGTCCGGGGGACGCCCCGCGACACTGGTAATCTTCATGAAGTCCGCTGTTTTGGTGAGTGCACTCTTATATTTTCTTATTTCCTTGGCCAAGGGTTTTGTTTTGTTTCGATTGTATGTATTGTACCAACGCCTCTTGCTAGTTTTCGCGACTGTGATTCGAGCGTGTCGTCTGCGTTTGTTTACGTGCTACGCCGTCCGCGGCTGTTACGTCTATATTGTACAATTCTTGCTAGTACTCTGTACTTTTGATTGCTCGACGACGCGTATCGTTTGTAATTAGGCCTATTGATTGTCACGCCTTGTTTTTGTGCGTTCTACTGTCGTTGTAATTTTTAGTACGCGAGTTACGCTATTATTCTGTCGCTCAGTTTTTTGTCGATTTTGCGTCCCGTACTCTGTAAAATTTAATCAACGTAAAGTCAGTATTTTCAATTAGTCGGCCGGGTCGCGGTTCTTTACACGTGATTATTTTGTAAATTTGTTCTTTCTCGCAGCCTATTAGACTTGTTTCATTTTATCGCAATTTGATAGTGTTTTTCTTGTGATTCTGAATTCTAAAGGTTTGCTGTAATGCTAGTTCAATTAAATCGCTCCGCGGCTCGGCTTCCCGTTTGCCTTTGTTGTATTACAATCTAGTCAAGTTGGTTTTTCATGTGGGTTCATGCCCCACGTTGGTATCTGTACTTTGCCTTCTAAAATATTGCTACAATACATGCATTTTTCAAAATGTTTTGTTTTACTTGTACTGCGTTAGCCCGGCCGACGGTCTCTCCAGGGTTTGATTTGCTTACGCGCACTGATGTGTCGCTTTCCATTCATTCTCCGGCGTGACCTGGCGCCCTTACTAAAAATTAAGTCGGTTGGTCTTATCGCAACCCTTTTCCCCCTTTCTCTCTCAACCCTTGTATGTAACTGTGACGCTGCCTAAGAAGATTCACCACTACTGCGCCTTTGTGGCCAAGTATAACCCCCCCCTTTCAGCAACTGTAACAGCGTGCTGGCCAAGCGATAGCGAGGTGTTGGCCGAGGCCGGGTTAGGCCAGAGTTGACCGGGCCCAGGCCGGGTGTTGGCCGGGTGTTGGCTGGACTTGGCCGGGTGATGGCCCGCTGGCCGGGACTTTGCCTTCGTCTAGGGTAAAGATTGATGTTGCTGCTAAGTTTCCTGCTGTTGGTCCAAATCTTGTTGCTGCTGATCTTCCTCTAGCTGCTTGCGCTGCGTATGGTTTTGACCACTGAAAAACAAGGTGTACGCCAGACCGTGTCTTGTCGTAACAGGCTTCGCGATGCCGCGCTAGTTTCGACCATCCACGCCTAGCGTATACACCTACCATGGCCTGCGGCGCTAACCTGCCTTCGGCAGGCTGCTGTCCTAGGCAGTCCGTGGAAATGGGCGTGATCCACTCAAAAAGTAGCATTTTGTTGTCAAAATCTACACAAATGGGACTTGACTTTCGATGGGGGATCCGAATGGGTTCTATTTTCATCATCAGCCTCAAAATCGTAGGAAACGACACGAAACTTCACGAAAATTTGAAAGTACCAATGAAGTTGACTTTTTTCTGCCGATTTTTAAGTGTTTTTAGACCAATATGATCGAAGGGATGGAGATAGAAAGCGGTATTTACACATACACACACACTCAGACAAACAGACAGACAAAACTTTTCTACCGCACTGGAGTAACGGGCTTCGCTATCGCTCAGCCAGCAAGGAAGGTTGACGCCAGACCGCGTCTTGTCGTAACGGGCTCCGCGATGTCTCGCTGCCTGTTTCTCTAATCCGCACCTGGGCCTGCGGCGCTAGCCTGCCTTCGGCAGGCAATGGCTTGTCCGTCATCGATTTTTTTAACTTGTTGCGTGCCGTTAGATAGAGTTGCTTTATCTGCAGATAACTCGATCTTGACCCCCCTTTCTTCAAGACAGAAGTGATCTGCCTGCAAAGAACTCGATTTTTCGCCGTTTTTGAAGTGTTTTTCGGCCATAAAGACTGAGCCAGTTGAGCTAGGATAGTAAAATTTCGCGTGTGCCGAGCCACAAACATACTTATAAGCCTGCCAAATCTCAGCGAGATCGGCCGAGCCGTTCAGGAGGAGTAGTGCGCACACACACACACGCACGCACGCAGACAGAAAAAGTTTTTCAACCCCACTAGAATAACGGGCTTCGCTATCTCTCAGCCAAAAAGTTATCCTAATTGACTGAGCGATAGCGAAGCCTGTTACTCTAGTGCGGTTGAAAAGTTTTTTCTGTCTGTCTGTCTGTCTGTCTGCGTGTGTGTGTGCACTACTCCTCCTGAACGGCTCGGCCGATCTGACTGAGACTATCCAGGCTCATTAGATGTGTTCTTGGCTCGGCACACGCAAAATATCACTATCCTAGCTCCACTGATTCAGTTTTGATAGCCAAAAAACAACTACAAAACGGCGAAAAATCGAGATTTCTGCAGGCAGATCTCCCTTTGTCTTGATGGAAGGGGGTCTGGGGGCCCCCCCCCCCCCCCCGCCTCGACAAGTTAAAAATTTACAAGGTCAAGTTCATGTAATTTCTAGATGAAGCAACTCTATACAGAATGAAGGGGGTCTGGGGGCGGTATTGGAAGTAACCGACGGTGGACAAGCATTGCCTGCCGAAGGCAGGCTAGCGCCGCAGGCCAAGGTAGGTACGCCAGGCGCGGATTGGAGGAACAGGCAGCGAGACATCGCGAAGCCTGTTACGACAAGACGCGGTCTGGCGTAAACCTACCTTGTTAATTTAAAAAAAAAATCTCAGCCGAATTTTAAAGATCCAAAAGTCTCACCTTCCCAGAAATCGACGGAACGAAGCATTTGCTTCTGTCTAATGCAGGTTCGCCAAAATCGTGTTTCTGCATGTACTTATGATGCCGTTTATGGCATTAGAGAAGCCACATGCAGGCTTATACCCCCTGTGCTTCCTAAACACTGTAACAAGGTAGGTTTACGCCAGACCGCGTCTTGACGTAACAGGCCTCGCGATGTCTCGCTGCCTGTTCCTCCAATCCACGCCTGGCGTACCTACCTTGGCCTACGGCGCTAGCTTGCCTTCGGCAGGCAATGGCTTGTCCGTCGTCGGTTACTTCCAAATTGTTTCTTTGTGGGAGGCTCCGCCCCCCAGATCCCCCTTCATTCTAGATAGAGTTGCTTCATCTACAGATAACACCATCTTGACCCTTGTAACTTTTTTGGCTGAGCGATAGCGAAGCCTGTTACTCCAGTGCGGTTGAAAAGTTTTGTCTGTCTGTGTGTCTGTCTGTGTGTGTGTGGGGTTGTACACTACTCCTCCTGAAACGGCTGGGCCCGATCTGGCTGAGATTTTGCGGGGTTTTGGGTTTTCCCACACGCAAAATTTTCACCATCCTACTCAAGTGGTTCATTTTTTTATAGCCGAAAAACACCTAAAAAACGGCGAAAAATCGAGTTCTCTGTCGGTAGACCTCTCCTGCTGGATGAAAGGGGGTCGGGGGGCGGACCCCCCCCAGCCACGAAAAAATTTAAAAGGGTTAAAAGGGGTCAAGATTTTAATTTGTAGATGAAGCACCTCTATCTAGAATAAAGGGGGGGTCTGGGGGCCCCCAGCGCAACAGTTCTGAAGTAACTGATGATGGACAAGCATTGTCTGCCAAAGGGAGCCTAGCGCCGCAGGCCAAGGTAGGTACGCCAGGCGCGGATTGGAAAACAGGCAGCGACACATCGCGAAGCCTGTTACGACAAGACGCGGTCTGGCGTAAACCTACCTTGTAACTTGTCGGGGCGGGGGGGCTCCCCCCCCCCCCCCCCCCCGACCCCCTTTCTTCAAGACAGAAGTGATGTGCCTGCAGAAAACTCGATTTTTCGCCGTTTTTCCATGTGTTTTTCGGCTATGAGCACTGAACCACGTGAGCTAGGATAGGGAAATTTCGCGTGTGCCGAGCCAAGAACATACCTAATAAGTCTGCAAAATATCAGTTAGATCGGCCGAGCCGTTCTGGAGGAGTAGTGCGCACACACACTCACGCACTCACACAGAAAAAGTTTTTCAACCTCACTGGAGTAGCGGGCTTCGCTGTCGCTCAGCCAAAAATAAATCAAAAACAATTCTTCGGATAAAGCATTTATAAGTCACAGGATGAGTGGAGCGAGCTTGACAATAGAGTTGATAGACAAGAACTCTCCTGCCTTGATACCCGATGTAACTATTCAACTTGTCGAGGCTGGGGGGCTGCCCCCCAGACCCCCCTTTCTACAAGACAGAAGTGGTCTGCCTGCAGAAAACTCGATTTTTCGCCGTTTTCCATGTGTTTTTCGGCTATGAGAACTGAACCACGTGAGCTTGGATAGGGAAATTTCGCGTGTGCCGAGCCAAGAACATAATCTAACAAGCCTGCAAAATCTCAGCCAGATCGGCCGAGCCGTTCAGGAGGAGTAGTGCACACACACAGACAGACACACAGACAATCAAAACATTTCAACCGCACTGGAGTAACGGGCTTCGCTATCGCTCTGCCAATAATCCACCACTAGTGAAGGGTGCAAATTGTCAGCACTCTGCAGTGCCCGTACATTTATCACCGTGTCGTTCCGGTCCACTCCGGAACGCGAACCGCAGGGTTCCAAAGACAAACCGCTCCTTTGGAATGGGGCCTTGGTGCTCGCCATTCCAGAACGAGTGAAGCCACGGTTCCGTTCCGTGTTCCAGAACAGTTTCAGACACAGAATTCCATGCGCGGAAAAGGTCAAATTGTCAAGCGAAGGGACAGGAAGGTCTGCAGTAGCCAGAAGACGGCGTGCTGTTGAAGTGCGAAGGGTAACTTAAGCAGCTCGCACGCTTTCGAGAATGGCCACGGCTTCGGGGCAGTTCTTGATGGCGTGTTCAAGGACGGGCTGTAGAGTGTGCGCAGCGCTCCGGAGGCACTGGCAGGATGTGTCGCCCGCTGCAGCAGCAGCGCAACCCCTTGCTCCCACGCCTCTTCGTTCAATGCAATGTTGTCAGGTCGGATCATCTCAAAGTCTTCTGGCCCTTTTTGAATTTGCTCCTCAGTGATCAAGTCTGTTGCCAAATTCAGGGAGGAGGTGGGAAGATGAAGCGAGCGCCTCTGAGCCCGTCCGAGGCGTGCACGGGTTGAGCCGAACGCAGCTGGGCTCTAAAGTTGTATTTTTTTTTTTCAAATTTCGTTAAATTTTTCAACTTTTAGCCATTGTGGCGATCCTTAAATATTTTTCGATCGGTCTCAAATTTGGTTGGCGGTGGTTTTAGGTCAAAATGAACCGTCAACGGGGGTAACTTGGGACACTTTTTCACGTTTTTTGAACGCCAGAGGTAAGATTTTCAACCTAGCCCATTGGACGAACGTGACATTTTGTCACGTTCGTTTCAACGTGATGTCACGTTCCTGGAATGAGAGTGTAGACGCTTATGAATCTTTGGAAGGGATGTCCACTGTCATGGCCGCCGGTCACCGCGCTGGTTTCGTCGCGGTTGGGGCACCGCAAGACGAGGTGCTGCTTAGCGTTTCGCCTAATTTGCACGGTCGCAGAGTGGGCAGTTGAAAGATTTAGCTCGTGGTGAACTTTCGGACTGCACCGTCTAAAAACAGAGACACGTCTTTTCATTTTCCACCATAAGAAACAGAGGTAAAATTAAGGCATTAGGTTGCAGAAGCTCACTTGATATTCATCCGGTATCTGCAAGACAACCTTCACCGTCTCAAGAATGTCCTTTGGAACAATAACGGGCTTCTCGTCAGGCCAAAACACCCCACCCATGTAGACAAATAGCACCAGCAACATTTGCCGGCTGCTGCTATTTAGGGGCCCCATCTTGCGCGAGAATTTCTGGAAGGTTTTCATAGACAACGGCCGCTGCCCCCTCGAAACAAGATTCGGCCAAGAATCTCGTTTCTGGCTTTGACCGCGGAGTTCCGTGGAGCTCCACTTCTAGGAATTCCAGATCTGGGGATACCGAAACCTCGCATTTAATAACTTGACCCTGGA